CGTCGGCACACACTCTGCTACTGTCGATGGTGCTGGGCTGCTCGGCTGCCTTCACGGACCTCCTGCTGCCGGGCCGCGAGGAGCCGGTGGTCAACGTGGCCGTGGTGTTTGGGGGCACGTCTTACCCCCTGCACATCCGCTCCCGCCTGAGTCCCCAGAGCTTCCTGGACATGCCCCTGGAGATCCACCCCATCACCGTCATCGTAACCCCAGCACCCTCCTCACCCAGATCTGCAACATCCTCGCCAGCCACAAGATCCACGGCATCGTCTTCGAGGACAACGTTGGAACGGAGGCCGTGGCCCAGATCCTTGACTTCATCTCCTCCCAGACCCAGGTCCCCGTCATCAGCATCAGTGGGGGGTCTGCCGTGGTCCTGACGCCGAAGGTGAGGCATTCGCTGCGAGTTATTTCTGGAGGGGGGGGTGGGAGAAAGGAGGGATTATTAGAGAGGGGTAGATATGGGATGTGAAATGCTGGAGGGCAGAGGAGCTGCTGGGCTGCAGCGTGGGGGATCGCGGGCAGGAATAGGCAGTGGCTGCAGCCAAGCGGGGCGGTGGGACACGGAGGGGACTTTAAGGAGGGTCCCTATTGATGGGATATGGGAGAGGACTTCAGTGCCCTGTGGAGGGACCTTCCCTGGTGTCCTGCTTCCCGTCCCCTCCAGGACGTGCCCACCATGGGGCTGCCAGGGCAGCGGCAGGGTTGGCACATCCCCATCCTCCTCCCTCCCCACCCTGCCGGGACCAAATCCAGCCCTGAAATGGCCGGGCAGGAAGCACGGAGAAGCCTTGCCCGGCTGTGGCATCAATCTCAGGTGCACCACGGGCCGAAAAAGGATTTTTTGGCTTCTCTGCCTCTCGCTGGTGTCAGACACTGTCACCGTCACTGTCACTGTCACCTGCCTGCCGGGAAGTGCTGGCAGCAGGGAGAGCTGGAGCCAGGCTGGAGGGTGCTGGGTGGGTAGCAATGGGCTGTGGCAAGGGTCCCGTCCCTCCCAGGGAGGAGATTTGGGTTTTCGCCTCCTGGTTGCTCATCTCACCCTGCCCAGCCTGGGCACCGGAGAGGTCTCTGTGCTGTCTCCTTCCCACGGCAGCAGCCCCCAGGCTGGAGACCCCCCTCTCGGGGCACTTGTTTCTTGCGCTGCTTGCCCAGAGGTTTTGGCGTCTAACCCCCCCCCGGATGGCACCTCGGCACCCACTGTGGGTGGGTGGCAGTGGGTGCAGTGGGCTTGGGTGGCTGCAGTGGACTCGGGTGGGTGCAGAGAGCTCAGGTGGAGCCTCAAGCAACTAAAAAAGAGCCATGGCTTTGCTGTGGTCTGGGTGGTTTTCTGCAGCTTTTTCCAGGGGTTGGGTATTTCGGGGGTGGTGGAGGGATCTGTCTGAAGGCTCACCCTCCTCCTCCTCCTCTCATGGGTCCGAGGTCCCTGGCGGCTCCCGCTCCCAGGTTGGGACTCCCCTGGGCTCTCCCCTCTGGCTGGACCACCAGCCTCATTGGAAAAACTCCTTCTCTAGAGGTGGAGGGGGTCTGGGTGGCAAAACTCTGCTGCCTGCACGCGACTTTCTGCAAATGCCATTCGCTGAATCATTTAAGACAGAATCAGATCAATTAAGGTTTGCTAATGAGAGGCCAGATGGCTGGGGAGGTGGGGCGGGAGGGAAGGAGCTGTGTAGGTAGGCACAGGGATGGCAGCAGGTAGCAAGTTGGAGTCGAGATGGGATTTATGCTCCTGGCTGAGCCCTTGTCCCCCTCCCTCTCCTGGTTTAAGGAGAAATTGTTGATCTCCTTTGAAGGATGGATGAATTTTTGGTCAATAAGCTGGGAAACAGAGGAGAGGCCACAGAGCTTGGATGAGGTTCTGGGAGATGGGATGAGGTTCCCTGGAGACCACTGATAGACCAGTCCCATTTTTGGGTGTCTCCAGCCCATGGACCATGCCAGGTCATGGCTCCCTCAAACCCTTCACAATGGTAAATTCAAGGTGGCTTGCATGGGTGCAAGAGACCTGGACCATGGTGCTGGAACAGCCCCTGATCCTTCTCTTCCCGCAGGAGCCTGGCTCGGCTTTCCTGCAGTTGGGTGTCTCCATCGAGCAGCAAATCCAGGTGATCTTCAAGGTGTTGGAGGAATACGACTGGGGCTCCTTTGCCGTCATCACCAGCCTCTACCCGGGCTACAACATCTTCCTGGACGTCATCCGCTCCTTCACGGACGCCAGCTACTTCGGCTGGGAGCTGCAGGAGGTGCTCACCTTCGAGATGAGCCAGGAACAGAGCAGCTCCAGGACGCAGCGGATCCTGCGGCAGATTGATGCCCAGGTCCTCATTGTCTACTGCTCACGAGAGGAGGCCGAATACCTCTTTGCCATGGCGGAGCACTCGTGGGGCCGGGCTACGTCTGGATCGTGCCCAGCCTGACGGTGGGCAACATGGAGGTGCCACCCACCTCCTTCCCCGTTGGCCTCATCAGCGTGGTGACGGAGAGCTGGAAGCTGAGCCTGCGGCAGAAGGTGCGAGATGGGGTGGCCATCATTGCCATGGGGGCGGCCAGCTTCTTCCGAGCCCATGGCTACCTCCCGGAGGTGGGACGGGATTGCCGGGCCCCCGCTGGGGCCACCGCCACCAATACCAGCTTCTACCGGTGAGGCTTGGGGACCCACTGGGATGGGTGTGAAATGGGGGGGGAATGGGGAAATGGACATGGAAGGGGCAGAGGAGGAGAAGGATGGAGCAAGTGAGCAGGGGGGATGTTGCTTGCTGTGGGCTGCAGCTGGTAGTCCATGCCTCTTGGCTGGATTTCTCCTGGAGCATCTCCCCAGAGCAGCCCTTACCTTTTTCCCTGCTTCTCTGTGACCTGGGACCCAGGGGGGTCTCAGGGGGGGTTTCACAGCTCCGCTCCGCAGTGCAGACATGGCAGCTTGGGG